ACCCGCAGCCCCAGGACCTCCCGCTGACAGGCCTCCAGGGAGGCCGATGCCGTCTGCAAACCCTCGCGGAGTATCTCCACCTCCTCCCTCTCCTCTCCTCCTCCTCCTCCTCCTTGGAGGGGAGACGCGGGCATCCCAGGAGAACCCATTCTCCCTTCGCCTGCCGCTCTCGAATCCCTCACCGGCTCCTCTTCACTGGATGAGTCCGTCAGCTTGCTGGCATTGTCAGAGTCTTGGGGATGTGCCCCCCTCGGCTCTTCACCCTCCCGGTCACCCTCTCCCCCTGGCACGGTTTCTCCGACCGGGCTCTCTCTGGGACCCTCTTCCCTGATTCCCGAGGGCCCTGTCTCGGGCTGGAGGTCTCCGCCCGGCCCCCTGCCCTCCAGCCTCTCCTGGAGCCTCCTCGCCAGGCCTGCCAGCTCTGCATTGGCGCCGGTCAGCTCGAGCACCTGGATCTCCAGCTCCTCGATCTGGAGGCTCTGCGAGCACTTGCGGAGGCGGTACTGGGACATGAGCGCCCGCACATTGTCCAGGTGACCCTCCAGCTCCACAAACCGCCTCTCCGCCTCGGCTTTCTCCTCCGCCAGCCTCCCCAGCTCCTCCCGGAGCCTGGCGACCTCCCAGCCGTCTGGAATCTCCCGCGTGCCCCCGGTCTTCCCGCTCCGGGGCTCCGGAGACTCCCCCCGGGTCGTTTCCCACCAGGCGCTGCCACCTTCGCCCTCTGCCTCATCGCCGTAACCCGTGCTCGGCCCCTGGGCCGCCTCCTGTTGGACGCTCGCCGACAGTTCAGCCAATCCCTGACCGAGAGAGAGAGAGGGTGGAATCCAATCAGAAGAGAGGAAAGGCCACGACGCTCCCCGACCTCTCTCCCGAAAGTCTGGGCCAGTTTACCCCCCCCCACGCCCCCAACTTCAATTCCCCATTCTCCCCCCAAGTCTCCCCTACACCCAGTGGGAGGAATGGACCCATTCTCCCTGCCAATTCCCAGTGGGAACAGGGCCCCCTTCCTGCTCCATTGTTCCCATCGCTCTGCCATTGGCACCATGCCTTCAGCTGACTTGTGGGGAAGTGGGGGGTCCTGAGCTCAGGAATGCCCTCCCTGAAACTCTCTGCCCTTTCTTCCTCCCTTTGCCCACTTTGAAGATCGTGGAGGCAGAAACGGTGCCACCAGCTGCAAGAGGCCATTTGGCCCGTCGTAACCATTCCCAGTTCGTAGGAGGACTTTCCTTCAAGGTGACTTCCCAACACTCAGTGCCATGTTACGTTGAGAAGTGGAGCCTCTCACACAGGCACTACGTAAATGCAGGTTGTTGTTGCATCCACCGACCTACCTGAGAGTGGTTCTTCTCAGTGGGTCCAGGCTCTGGAAAGGAAGAAGCGAAGGCTTTAAAGGAGGCAAGGGAGAAGCCACTTGTTTCAGCAGGGTGCCATCCTGGGTTTGATTCTGTCCCATTCTCTTCCTGCCCGGTTCTACCACCTCACCGGCTGTACCAGGACGGTCGCAGTGATCAGCTGGCTCTGTACGTCACCCTCAGAGACTGTTGGAGGGTCAGCGCTGAGGGAGTGGGCACTGTCAGAGGGTCAGCGCTGAGGGAGTGGGCCCTGTCAGAGGGTCAGTGCTGAGGGAGCGGGCACTGTCGGAGGGTCAGCGCTGAGGGAGCGGGCCATGTCAGAGGGTCAGCGCTGAGGGAGCGGGCACTGTCGGAGGGTCAGTGCTGAGGGAGGGGGCATTGTAGGAGGGTCAGGGCTGAGGTAGCAGGTGCTGTCGGAGGGCCAACGCTGAGGAAGTGGGCACTGGTCGGACGGTCAGTGCTGAGGGAGCGGGCACTGGTCGAAGGGTCAGTGCTGAGGGAACAGGCGCTGTCGGAGAGTCAGGGCTGAGGGAGCAGGCGCTGTTGGAAGGTCAGTGCTGAGGGATCGGGCACTGGTGGGAGGTTCAGTGCTGAGGGAGCGGGCACTGTCGCCCACTGGCTATTAATGAAGCCAGCACACATTTATGCTTTCTGAGTAAGATGTTAAAAGTCACACTAATTGAAGATTGGGAGTTTTTTTTGCTGGCATTTTGTCGAATAGAAAACACTCCAAATCCCGTACATTGTCCCATCATTCTTAGTGGGACTTGCTGTGCACAAATATGGCTGCCTCTTTTTTCTACACAGTAGTCAAAAACCATTTTGTTGTCTCTCCCACATGTCTGAAGGTGGCCAATGCAAATTTTATTTTCTGTTGGGCACGGTTGTACTTGAAGGGCAAGCTTTGTTTGAACTGAAGCCTTGGGCCTAGGTTATGCCTAGAATCCAAATCAAGCCAGACGCTAACTCAGCACTGCCAACCGGTGGCCTTGTTTCCCCCCCTTGTCTTCCACAAAGTGTTTCTTTTTGTATTATTTCCAAGAAAAATCGCTGTTTTGTTATTCTGCTCAAATTAAAGTGAATTAATCTGTCTGTCTAGGCCTGACGTTAGCCGCTAGGCCTCAGCGTTGTCAAGACAACGTTATCTGACAAGGAAGTGATTAAGGAGCGAGCCAGGCCTGTTTCCAATTAACCAAGACCAATGTCAGTCGGAGTTTGTTGGGAGGGGGGGGGATCGGCAAGGACCCCAAGGCAAGTCGGCTCAGGAAGAGTAGGGCGGGGGTGGGGGAGCTGGCTAATGTTTTTAACCGAGGAATGGTGGGGCGATGGGGCTGGTGTGACGTCTGCGTTTCTGCGGCTTCCCTGCCTGGCCTTCCGGAATCCTCTGGCCTTCCTGCGGGCAATGCTGCTCCTTGGCACATCGCACAGCAAGATCCCAAAAGCTTGGGTCATTTTTTTGGGTGCTGGGGGTGAAGAGGTACAGGAGAGAGTCTGAGTCCCAAGTGATAGTTGGACAGGGACAGGGGAGAGGGAGAGAAAGAGAGAGAGAGAGGGGGGCAGATAAGGCGATGAGAGGTGTGGAAAGGGCAGGGTAGGAGGTTGGTGTGGTCGGATCTTTGACGAAGATAGAGTGGGCCGAATGGCCTCAGTGGGCAAAACTGAAACTGTTCTGTCTCAGCGAGTGTCCACCCCGGGGTGTGGAAAATCTAGCCCAGGGTGGGCGTAAATCTCCCCCTGCCCACCCCGTTTAACCCCCCTCGCCCGGACCCACCTGCCTCGCTTGGATACAGGGGCCTTCTAAATGGGCCTGAGAGGGCTGGTGGGGGGGGAGGGGGGGTGGGTTAGATGTTTTAATTCAACAAGATCACCGCACCGGCATTTTTAAATCATGTCCCATGCACCAGCACCCACCCCCACCCCCCACCCTGCCCGCTGTTAAACTGCCCTCAGGCTGGCGGTGGAGGAGGCGCTACATGAATGCAGTGTTTGGTCAGCGAGCAGCTAAATTGCTCCAAGCGGCGGTGAGCCTGGGAAGGAGGCCCAATTGTCTCGCTCCCTTCCCCAACAGCCCCGCCCAAATGTCCCCCATTCCCTACATCCCCCCACACCCACCCGGTAGGGGTGGGGGCGCAGCTCCGTGACCCCACTGCCTCTCAACGGCTGATCCCGGAGAGACCTCTTCATTCTGATGTTATTGCAATTTAATTGGATCCTTCTCTCTCCCGCTCCAGGCACTCCGCCCCCCCAACCCCATCTCTCTCTCTCCGTAGCTCAAAGGGACTGAGCACAGGGTCGCGCACACACACACACACACACACACACACAC